TCCTTTTCTCTGGAACTCTCTACCTACTTCTCTGACTACTTCTCCATCACTTGCGAAGTTCAGAGCGGATCTCATGACCCATCTGTTTTCAAAATTCATCGAGGAGCGCTGTTGAACATCGCGGAAATAGCGCTTTATAAGCTAATTGATTGATTGATTCATTCATTCATTCACTCAAAATCAGTCAATTAGTTTGTTTCCAAAGTGCCATTTCCTCAATATTTAACAGTGATCTTTAATGAGTTTTACGTTGAACCATGGCTATATACTGTACCGAACTGTAATACCTTTTTTTGTATTTTTTAATTATTTTATTGGAGCTCCATACAATTTTATTCTAGCCCAACTTTTATGATCGAGTTTTACGTCGTACCACTGACTTTTGCGTCGAAGAATCAAGAATGGCTTCATCGATGGATGTAGACGGGGAGCGCAATATTGGATTTTCAACCTCTTTCCCGACCGGCAGTGTTTCGGTTTCACTTCATCCGCTTGTTATCATGAACGTTTCAGAGCATTGGACCAGAGTTACAGCTCAGGGAGGGCGAGTCTGCCAGGGTTGGTTGGGGTTTTTCAAGTTTTTAAACTTTTAATTTTATTTAACATTTAACAAAGAAGTGACGATTTCAATCAGTGCACATGCACTCTTCAAATTTAACTCAGGTAAAGGCTCTCCTAGCTTTGAGCTTCTTGCCGGCTTTGTTTACTTTTTGGCTTTGGGTAGTTCTAACTAGATTATTATTGGAAAATCTAAAATATGTCATTTAAATTTTAATTTAAGTTGAAATACATCAGCTGTGCATGTTAAATAAAATAGTTACTCTGTCTACCACCTTGATGTGTGCACCTGTGGACGTTCCTGGTTCAATTGATATTATAAATTATATTTATGCTTTTAATTATATTATATATTATATCTATTATATTTAATAACTTGATTTAATTTTAATACAATTATAATTTATATACTTTTTTATATATGAAAGGCCGCATTGAAAATTTTATTGATTTTGGAGAGCCATATTCATTTATTTATTTTTTATTTATTATAAGTAATTAAATTATAGTGCTATTAAATAAGTTTTTCAAGCATTAACTAACAAAGTTAATAATCTGACAAAAAGTTTTCGCCATCTTTCTTTCCAAACAGTTGGGTTGTTGCTACCAAATTTCTAATCCCTAATGTGGACAAACTCTAGCCAGGAAGTTTAATTAATGACCTTATCTAAAAATTTAGTTTCCACTCAAGGACGAAACAAAACAAGAGAAAACAGAATACTGACTTGATATTGAGTATTTCCGTTTCCAATACTAATATAATAAAAACTTCTACATCTTCTTTTTCTGTTTGCTGATATTTTAGAATCATTTGATGAGCATGAACTAATGACAACTTTGATGATGATGCATTTCTCTTGGTGAACAATTTATCATTCAAACAATGACGATGAAGTCATCTGTTTTTATTTTGTTGTTAGTCTTAGCAATCTCCTGACATTTAGGAAATGTTTGCCAGCATTTCTTTGAAACACTCGCTACAGACCGGCTAACTGTAATTTTTGAATCATTTGCTAGGGTATCATCAATTTCATTGCTCGTAATTGTCTTTAAAAAATATGTTATCAAATCAACCTTTGAGCATGTTTTTTATAAATTGTTTTCTCAATGTTGAAATGTATGTGACAGTTTTTTTTACCCAAGAGAGGCACTGGTGGACTCAAATTTGCAGATTTTGCTTGCAGTATTTTGTTAAAAACATAAAAATCACTTTAATATTTTTCCTATAGTGAAGTGATATTAAAAATTAAACATTTGTTACATGTTCCTGGCATTGTTCCAAGCATTTGTATCCCTTCGGACAGTTTCAGATGATCCAGTGTTTTAATGACAAGCGGATATTGCTGAAAAAAATGATACTGATTTGTGCACACTCTCCCACATTGTAAAATTCAGATGTTCCAAAGTTTGCACTTTTGTTTCAGATCCACGAACTTGAAGCAGAGCCAAATTTGGGGCACTTTACTAAAAAATGTGTTTGTTTAGCACAATGGTCAGAGGCATCATGTAGTTGAAAATTTAATTTGTGACAAATATAGTGAACCTGAACATTGATAGAATTTAGTGAGTGTTCTTCAAAGTGCTTTTTGACCCCTGAGAAAACTCCACTCATGACAGAGATAGCATTATATCCACCATGGCTTCGGCATTTGGAGATATCTGGTCCAACTTCATTTATTAGTTATAACCATATCAGCCACATCTACTGAATCATTTTTTGGATTGAATTTTATAAATGTCTCCCTGATGCTAGTTTTTTTTTCTTTAAAAATAAATGTATATATAATTTTTTAGTATTTTCGTTACACTCATCTTTTAAACATTTTAAGTACTTCATATTTTTAAATGATATAAAACTTTATATATATTTTCTAATCTTTTAGTTCTAGGAGCCTTGATTGGAAAGCAGAAGGGAAGGAATATTGAAATTATGAATTCGTTTGAGTTGGTTTTTCATTCTATTGAAGATGAGATTTTTGTTGACAGAGAATATTACACCATCAAGGAAGATCAATGTTAGTAATAATCAGATACCTGTGTTATTAATCACTAAATGGCTATTTAACAAGTGAACTAATTAATTATCATTGTAAAATTCTTATTTGTTAATTTCTTTAAAATAAATTATTTTAGATGGCATGCATGTTATTTTTATACTTTTATGATGACTTCATTGGATTTCTTTTTGTATGCTGGGTGTGGTTCTGGCTCATAAAAACTTTTTGTTTCTCTTTTGAACTATTTCTAAAATTGTATTAGCAAATTTTAAATTAAATATTACACGTTTAAGAACTACGCTAAAAAAGTTAATTTGATGAAATTTTTTAAATTCAATGATATAATTGCTTTACTTGATGACTGAAATTAGAAATTTGTTTTTTTATTAGAAGTTTATTTTGTCAGTGTTTTCATTTGCATACTAAAAATAATTCATGGTTCGCTTTTCAGAATAGTGTAACAGTTTTTTTGTTCTTTATAGTGCAACTCTGTATTTGATGGAGCTGCAAGCAGTTGAGATGTTGTGCAAGCTTGCCATAAGCATGTAAATAAGAGTGAATGGTGTTTGGTTGATTTTCGCATTAACTTACATGCTTTGCACCAATAATGTTACTAAATAAATTTATGCAATTCTACACTTTTTAATGTCATGTTTGAAAAACAGTTAAAATAAGTTGAGATAATAATTCCTTGTTACAGAAAATAATTTGAACTTTTTCTATTGATAAAGATATTCTTTTACTGAGAATATAGGTCTATTTTATCACTCAGTTGAATGTTGAAGCTCGACAGTTTTGTTTAGTTAATTCAAGTTTTTTTTAATGATTTTAGTTAAACAGATTTTCAGTGACATGGATTTTTTGGGTTGGTACAACACTGGAGATGCATTGGTGGAATCCGACATTAAAGTCCACAAACAAGTGAATACTTTTTCAAAAGAATTATATTTCATTATTAGTGCTTTTATTTTGTTCTCTTTTAGTGCAGCTCTGACAGATGCACCCTACTTGTACATTTTTTTTATTTTTGAAACTAAACTTTCTATCCCATCTACAATGAATTAATTTTCCACTGTTCAATAAGACTCAGGACATGACGTGGCACTTGTATTGCTTGAGCCAACTCTCTGACTTTTAGCCCTTCATATTTTCACAATAGTTTATAGTTTATTTTCATAATTTTTACTAGGAAGAATGGTTGTTGTTTGCTATATCATCTGTTTCAATTGTTGTAAAGTTAGCATAATGCAGAGAAATATCATTGAAATGTATTGTTGATAATATTAGATATTTTAAATCATGTTCAACACTAAATTGATTATTGTTACAAGTTATTATTCTGATGAGTTTCAATGAATCAATAAATAGATATTGTGTTTAATTAATTTTTGTATTATACTTTACATAATATTTTTTTTACATATTTAGATATGCCAAATAAATGAAAACCCAGTGTTTTTAAAGTTGAACCCATTAGCTCGATCTGCTGAGGTTTATTGATTTTAAAAAAATGAAATTGAATCTTTATTGATTTTTTAGTAAACAAATTCGTAGAATTTACTCAATCATTTTTTAAAGCTCTACTCCTAATGCTTAAACTCCCAAAACACTCCTGCCTTCATTTGTTTGATGTTTCTTTGCTTTTTCAATAAAACAATAAATCCATTAAAAATTCCCGAGTTATTAATCTAATAATAATCCTATACCTTTCTGTAACTATTTCCATGCCTTGATAAGTCTCTTCTTGCACCACACAAAATTGAATGTATTCATATTAGAGATGGGAATCGAACCCTACCTTTGATGTTCGGTTCGGTCAGGCCCAAAGTCCGGGTTCGGTTCGATTCGGTCGGGTCCAAAGTTCGGGTTCGGTTCGGTCAGGCCTAAAGTTCCGGTTCGGTCAGGTTTCAACAAGTTCGGTTCGATGAGATTTTGATCGACTTAATTAGTCGCAATAAAAACTAGTAGATATACGATTGAAATTATAGCTTTAAATTAATGAAATAATAAAGACAATAATAATTTCTCTTTCAATATACAAAATAAAGTACACAAATCTATTAAAAAATACTATGCAGTAAATGATTTAGCATGTGAGTGAATGATATTTAAAGATTTTAAGGCTGCATATTATATTTTAAAAACATTAAGTTTCCAATGTTTCTGGATTCAACCTAGCCCTACGGTCACTCAATGTCTCGCCGCATGCTGAAAAAACTCTTTCACTAGAAGTACTGGTGGCAGGAATAGCTAACAACTTTCTAGCAATCAATGCCATTTTTGGAAGCTTGTGTTTGACATCATTTTCCTTCCAAAATTGCAATGCGGGACAGCCAGTTACAGGCAGTGCCAAATATTTATTCAGTTCGTGTCTTTTGTCGTTTTTGTCATAATTAAATAGGGGAGTTGCAGCTGTTTTGAAATCTGCGAGTAAATCCAATTCAGTGTCAGCTTTAAGTCTTTTTAATGGTGGCCGATGATCTGAATAGCTACATTCACCAACACTATCCAGATGTGTGTTATCAAAATGCTCTGATATGATTTCAGGCGGTATGGATGACTCAGTTTTATCTACCATACTTCGAATTAGTCATGGTGATCGCGCCTTTCTTTTCTTCGTACCAAAAATTATAAAATTAATTTATATTTAATCACATATACATTGGCTGTCGGTCATTTGTAATATTTGGACCGTCGATAATGCATGCACCTACCTCCATCATTAGTAGAACAATAATTTTCAGACGAATGATTTTTGGATAACATTAGAAAGGTTCGTTCGGTTCGGTTCATAATCGGCAATTTTAAAGTTCGGTTCGGCCATGAGCAAAGTTCGGGTACGGTTAGGTTCAGTCGTGCCCAGAGTTCGGGTTCGGTTCGGTTCGGTCACAAGTAGGGTTCGAGTTCGGTTCGGTTCGGGTTCGGTTCGATTCCCATCTCTAATTCATATAGAAGTGATCAAACTAGTTTTGAAAATTAAAAACTTTTCAGTTATTTTTAAAGTTCCTTCTTACTTTGTCTTCATCATCTCTGCCATAATTTTTATATGTGTGTTATATATGTTATCTTATAACCACGATTATGTTACCTGCCTCAACTTTTTTCACTGATCCTCCAGGATGCTCTACGTTTATTTCTCTATAAGCCCTGTCTATCTTTCTCTAATTTATAAGAATGAAATGAAAATATTGTTATACCTCATTTCGCAACCTACACTAACCTGTTGAAGTTGTCAACTTGTCAATTTACCTGCAAGAAGTTGCTACATCATTGACTGACAAAGAGAGTACATTGATGTATTGAAATAAAATCAAAATGCTGCTCATTCATATTGTCAAGTAGGAATTTTTTATTAATTTTTAAAATGTGGTTTCGACTTTGACCTATCAGACGAAGCCACGCATATCATGATTTTTTACCTTCTTTCCTTTATCTCGTCAAAATCCTTCCTTCTGCCATCTTACTGAAGTGTTTGTAATGCCTTTTACCGCGTTCTCTATTGAAGTCTCTTTTTATCCCTGCTTGTTTATTACATGATCTTTGATGAGCCTGTACACACAAAACTCAAAACGTTCGCCTGAACTCTGCTCTCGGTTAACCTTGCCACTTGATAAATTAAATTTTGGAAAGTATTGTAATAGTAAATAATTACATTGTAAATTAAATAGTTTTGTACTTGTACAATCAATAATTAAAAATTAATTTCAGTTGCCAGTAAACATCTATGAGTCCGTTATTGATTTGGTTGATAAAGAGGTTTGAATCTTTGGTTGCTTTTGTAACAAATTTGAACATTTATTAAATTATTGAATGTCTAAAATCTCTTGAAGGCTACCATGAGATTTGTGGAGTTGCCGTACGTGCTGGCCACCGAGGAAGCTGAACGAATAGGAGTGGACCATGTTGCCAGAGTCAGCATTTCTGATAGAGGAGAAGCTTCAACTGGCATGATTTTTCTTTTATTATTTAAATTTATATTCAGTGGCTATTTTTCAGCTTTAACAAATTTTTTCAATTACATTATCGTGCCTTTACTTTTAAAGTAAGCAACGCATTATTTTGAACTTTTGGAAATTTCATTATAGCCATACCTAGTATTTTATTTTTTAATTTTAAAATAAAACTTGAATGTTGAATGACCTGCATGTTTTTTTAAACGTTTGATGTTTTTTGATTCTTACTGTACCTTTCCGGATCTCCAAGATTTATGATGAAACTTATATTTAGATTTAATGCTGAGGTACGGTGTAGTAATATTTCAAAATAATTTGGTTGTTGAAACTTTTAAATCTAGGAAATAAGACGAGTCACTGCATGTCTTGTGTCTCTTGTTGATATTTGCTAATATTGATTGCAGCTGCTCAGCACTTGACTGCACAGTACAGCGCCGTGAAGATGCTGCATTGTCGAGTGAAAATTATTCTCAACTATTTGAAGGACATGAATAATGGTTAAATTTTTATTACTTCGTTTTTATTAAGATATTTCTATTTGTAATTAATTTGACACAATCGCTGTTTATATAAATAATCTACTATCTATTCGTTTTCAGAGTTCTTTTAAAGTTTTGCTTAATAGTATGTATTGTTCTAGTTTTCGATTTCAAAATTAAAAAATCTAAACATTTATTTTTTATTTTACATAACTTTGTGACGTGTCAGGGATATACAAGTTTTTGTCATGACGTGTACAGAAATATGTACAAATCTCAAACTTTGTTATAACTGGTGTCCTTTCAAATGATTTGCTTCATCGTATCTATGGAATTCTCATTTTCTATATTTTTCCATCTTTGGGTTTAGGTATTCCGCTTCGCACAAATAGTAGGTCAACTATTTGGCTATTCGGCCAAATTCACTATTCAGTGCATCTCTACTTAATTTGACATTGCTTCTTGCCTTAATTTTAGGAGAGTGTAATTTGAAATATTAAAAAGAGATAAAGGACTGAGTCATAACTAGAGCTTGTAGATAATTTCACCATCTTGTCTGGTAAAGGGTAATCTAAACAAGAAGAAATTATTTTCTAGTTTAACTTTGGTATCTTTATTATATAAGCAATATAAGAAAAAAATCATTCATAAGCTATGTTTTAAGATTTGTCATTCTTTGAAAGATTTCTAATGGTGGTTAACTTTAATATTTTAAATCGAATTTTGTTTTTTTTAGGATTAGTACCGAAGAATCATAACATACTGAGAGAAGTGTACAGTTTGTGCCATCATCTTCCTGTCTTAAATTCTAAACAATTCAATGATGAATTAAATACCGTTAGTTTTCTTTTTAGTTAATTTTAAGGTTTTCATTTTATTATTTTATTTGAAAAAATATATGGGTTTTCAGTTGAATCTTTCTAATATGTTTAAAAGTTTAAGTTTTGTTTTTATTTCAGCAATATAATGATGTTTCGTTGATGACTTACCTGGGCGTCATGACAAAAGCTTGCAATACCATCAACCAGGCTAGTTTGTGTTTATTTGGCGAATGTGTTTTAATGTCTCGTTTGCGCAAATGCTTGAGGATTTAATTTTCATTTTAATTTTAATGTGCAAATAAAAATCTTAGTTGACTTTTAAACGTAAAAATCTAAGTGATGATCTTCCTTATCATAATCGTTTCTAACAATTGAGTCTACAAAAATTTAGACGTTTCTGACGTGTGATGAGCAAATAAAATTTTTCATCTATTTGATTTGATATCAATAGTCATTAAACAATTACCAACCTGATGGCTAACAGTTAAATGACAAAATTTACTTAGTTTATTATTGATAATATTTTTAAAAATTAATTTTTACAGTTTGTGACGAAGTTCAACATTGTAAATGATCGTCAGTTAGCTCGAAGGATGAGAGGATTACTATATTAAACTTTTGACATTTTCCTTTATTTGTTTACCAGCATTGTTTAAAGTTAATGTTATTAAAATTTTCTCATGTGTAGTTATATTTTTGTCAGTAAATTTTTTTAAAATACGGTTTATATTGGACTGTTTAAATAATGAATAATGTTTATACTTGAGTAAACGTCAGTTTAAATGGTCATCTGAATTACAATTTTTCAATCTCCCGTATAACCACCCATAGCGAATCACTTGCGAACTATTTTTCTGTTGATCTTCTTTGTAATTCGTTAACGATTTTCTAATAAATTCTGTCTTCATCCTATTTTCTGCTTGCAGCTAGAATTGCTGTTTTCTGCTTGACGGCTAGAATTGGTTTGTGAGATCCGATAAGGAATGTTCATTTAGGATATTTATTTTTTGTGAAATCCTTAATGTATCCTTATTTCTGTCAACCTATCCAGAAATCTAAAGTTAAGAATTTGTAAATAACCAAAAATAAGCTTGATTAAAAGGATAGAATTTAAGATGACGACGAAAAGCAGTTAGAGATTTTAATGAACGAAGCTCAAACGGTTATGAGTTCCACTTATATCTCCAAGGGATGTTCCATTATTATGATGATTAGATTTGAGTTTCTATTTAAAGTTCTTAACCTCACTTCTTCGGTTGGTGTTTTTGAAGTTGTTTCGAAGTTTAAGGTCATTTCACTTTGTAAAATTTATTCAAAAAGTTTCATTCATTAACGCACTGTGACGATTATATTCTGGATCTTCGAATTAATTGCAAAAATAGCTTTTCATTGTTTCATTATTTGTATAGGTAAAAGGCTGACCTGGCCTCAGTTGGAAATTGATGTAAAACTTGTCTGGTTAATATTGATTCTAGATTGCAATTATTGATTTTAAAACTGATAGAAGTGCAGTTTAGAAAAATGAAACTCATTTTGCCTTAAAATCAATGTACGATGGTGAATTGTTGTAAGGTCTTTTGCTATTTGTTTCAGATGTTCTTCATGATCCTGTTCCGTTCTGTTCTTGTTTTAAAACGCATGGTGGCCTTGATAATTTCTATTTTTATTCTGTATCCTCCGGGCTCAGCCTCTTTTTTTGAATGAACGAGTGTCTACGCCGGAAGACGCAATATAAAATTCTGATAATGGTCATACCCTCTGTCCTGGTTATGACATCTGTCCTGGTTATGACATTAAACTGACCCTCACTGCTTTGTGAGTGATGTTGGATCATCAAAGGCTAGGCCCACCGCTTATAACTGTGGTTGCGTAAGGAAGGGCGTCCTGCGTAAAAATTAGCCAAATAAATTACTTATGATGACAGAAGTGACAATGGCCCTCAGTATCCGGCAGAATGGCGTCGAGGGATATTTCAGTTTCATCATAAGTAGCCAAACGGCAACCCCCGATCTCGGGGAAAATGTCTAAACGTGTGTTGTTGTTGTTGTTGATAATGGTCATACCCATTCTTGTTATAAATAATATACATCAGATCGGATTTCAAATCATTGTGCATGTTGGGTGGGGGTGTGTGTGTGGGAGAGAGAGAGTGAGAGGGCTACGATGTTCAATATTTATCGAAAAAACAAATATAAAATTGGACCAACGATGTTTATATACGCTCTAAGACAGGCATTCACGTGCACGCATACAAATTGTTAAATGGAATAAAATTTTCATTTTGAAGCGTCTGTACGTAGTAAATATTTAATTCGACAAATGTAGCAAATAATGAGATGGGACAATGACAACTGTAAAATTAATAAATACAGACTTACCATATGGTAACAGTGTTCTTCCAGTTAATAAATAAATTTGACCTCGGTTAAAGTTGTTTAGGATCGGTCGAAGTCAAAGTTATCTGTTTAAGTCAAGTTAAGGTTACAGTTATTTGATGCTAACATCAATAAAAGTTACAGATAAAGTTACTGTTCAAATTATCAATTTTTGGCCAAGTTGCCTTCGTACAGAGTTTTTTAGTACAATTCTAGATAGCGTCATACTGAAAGTTGCTTATTTATCTAATGTAGAAAATGTCGGGTGTTAAATAAATATGAATTCAACTGAAACACTAACCTTCCAGACAAGCAAATTAAATATTCCAACAAACTGTTGTTTTGTGTGGATGGCCTACCATCACATTTGATGGAATAATGTACAACCCACAAATTTATCCATGTAGAAGAAAAATTATCGGGAGTTTATTCCCCTGATAGCCACTGATTTAAGATTTATCTACGCGCTAGCACAAATCAACTTTTTATAAAATCAACATTATCGTCGAGCTAGGTTAAATACACACTCATACTCAAGAACTTTGTAGTAGTAGTAGTAATAGATGTAGTGGTAGTAGTAGAAGTGAAGCAAATTTAAAGGTTTTGATACGAGTTGTTGTTAAGTTTTATGTTTTATATTAAAACATTATGATTTATAATATACATTTATTTTTCTTTGGACCAAATGTTCTTTGCTTTGAGGTTATGGGACCCAGATAACGTTTTTCTTAATTAATTGATTTGACGAAGAAAATTTAGAATAAAGAAATATCGGAAGATTTCTTTGTGTTTGTGAAGACTGAAGTGAAGAAAAAACACGTGCTTCTTCATTCTCTGAAATTTGATATTTTGCTTCTAATTAAAAGGTCAAATTGAAAGACAAGGAAGAAATGGACTCAAAGCTTCAAATAAAACAGTTAAGTTGTGCAGCCGGTTGGCCCATTTGGAAACGTCGTGTTCGAAATTTCATGGATTACCATGAGGGCGCACTTGATGTGATTGATGGGAAGTTGTCAAAACCAGAATTACTAAAAAATCAAACAGAGCAACAGGCAAAAGATTTTAAAAACAAATCAGATCTGTTTAGAAAGGCAAACAGTTATGCCAAATTAGTAACTGCGAATGCAGTCACAGAAGATACATACCAAAAGATAATGGACAAGAACACAGCGTTTGAAGTTTGGGAGGAATTAAAAAGAAATTTTGAAGTGTCAACTAAGGACCAACTGTTCCAAGTTTGTAGCAATTTTTTCGATTTCAATTGGATAGCGGATGTAGATGTATTCGGCCAAATTGCAAGATTGAAGACTTTATGGAACGAATTAAACAGTGGGCTTCAGGCATCGGGAGAAAATAAACTACCAGAGCTATTAGTATGCAAAGCGATGCAGATTCTCCCAAATAGTTTCCAAAACTTCAAATCAAGTTGGCTAATGCTAGGTGAAGAAAAGCAGTCGATAGATGATTTAATCACTCATCTCTGTGCTTTCGAAAGAAAGATAAAGACTTTCGACACAATCGATAAATCATCAAGGCAGAACGCCTTAGTTGTAAATGTTGAAAAGCCAAGTTTCAACAAATCAAGAGATTTCACTAAAAGGACAAAACCAGTTGGTAACTGCAACTATTGCCATAAACCTGGACACTGGGTTAAGCAATGTAGAAAGTGGGTCAGTGATGGAAGACCTTCTAAAAATTCCAAAAATGCTTCAGCGACACTAAGAAAAGCATATGATGAAACAAATCAAACACTGAGAGACAATAAGAAATCATTAGTTGCTATGGAATCAAGTGTTTTTGCAATTGATGAGTCAGCGTACACTGATGAATGGTTTTTTGACAATGGTGCAACGTGTCATCTAACTTTCCGAAGAAACATACTTCAAAGTTTTGAAAAATTTTCTCAACCGAGTAAATTATATGTTGCAAATGTTGATACTGTAGAAGCTTTTGGAAAAGGAATTATTCATCTTCAAGTGAAAGTGAATAATAAATGGCAAACTGTTAAACTTACAGATGTCTTGTATGTGCCAAAAGTAAAAAGAAATTTGTTCTCAGTACTTGCAACTCAAGATAAGAACAGAAATAGCTCTTTTGTTTCAACCTCAAGAAGTTGTCATCTACTTATTGACAATGTGATAAATGTTGTTGGAATATGAAACAACAATGGAGGTTTGTTCAAACTTGTTGCAAAAACTGTTAGGCCGTTGAATTCTGAAGTCGAAGTTAACTTTGTCAATGATCAAGATGCATTGCAGTTATACCAACAGAATAAGAAACGTGTTAAAATGCATCGATCAAGAAATGTTATTTTTGATGAGAAGGTTGTCAAACCAAATTCAGTGATTTTGCAAAAAGAAAGTTGTTCAAATGATACAGTTTCGATTGATGTTAAAATTAAAAATGAAAATAAAGAAACTTTGATTAAAGAAAATATTTCAACTGATGAAGATGTTCACAACCGTAGTTCAGTTTTATTTGATGAAGAAGATCAATCTGACTGTTGTAATCAAAAAACCAGAGGTATGGTTTTACGTGACAGGAATAATATCAAAAAGCCATCTCGTTATGATCCTTTCGTTATGTCTGCATTATGTGAAGTACTTGAACCAGTGAGCTACAAAGATGCCATTTAAAGTGATGAAAAAGATGAATGGTTTAAAGCCATGAACAGTGAAATGCAGTCATTAAAGGAAAATCAAACGTGGGATTTGGTAAGTCTTCCAAAAGGTCATAAGGCAATACCATGCAAATGGGTCTACAAGGTAAAACACAATCCAGATGGTTCTGTTGAACGTTTTAAAGCCAGGCTAGTGGTAAAAGGTTTTTCTCAGAAAAAGGGAATTGACTATGAAGAAACCTATAGTCCTGTGGTCAGAAGTTCAACTATAAGAACACTATTAAGTGTTGCTGCAAATGAAAAGATGTCACTCATGCAGTTTGATGTGTCAACAGCATTTCTTTACAGCAAACTAGATGAAGATATTTACATGGAGCAACCTGAAGGTTTTAAAGATAATTCAGGAAGAGTCTGTAAACTCAAGCGATGTCTCTATGGACTTAAACAAGCTCCAAGATATTGGAACAAACGCTTTGCTGAATTCTTGAAAAAGAGACATTTCAAACAAAGCGATGCAGATACTTGTTTGTTCATTAGAATACAGGGAGGAAAAAAAAAACTCATACTTGAACTGTATGTTGATGATGGACTAGTTGCAGGAATCGATAAAGAAGAACTAAAAATATTTGAAAAAGAATTAAAGTCAGAGTTCAAGATAACATCTAAACCTGCAACATGTTTCCTTGGATTAGAGATTAATCAAGATGAGAAGGGAAATATTAATGTCAGTCAGTCATCCTATACAAGAATGATTCTTGAAAAGTTTGGAATGAGTCAGTGTAAATACTGTACAACTCCGATTTCAAAATCTGAGGAGTTCGATGAAAACAAAAATGAACATGAGGAAGTGAAATTTCTTTACAGATCAGCAGTTGGTGCATTGATGTACTTGATGACGGGAACAAGACCAGATA